ATTTATTGCTTGAAGTGGACTTTTGATTGGTAGACTTTTTTGTAAAAGATTGAATTAGGGTTAAGGTCCGTTAAGACTATATATTTTATTGTGATAATGTGTATTATCTCGATTTAATTGCTAAATCGTTCTGAATTTAAATTTATTTCACCTCATACAAAATTAAATCCACTCGTTCAATTTGATCAAAATCCTAGTCTTAATCGAATACATTTCAAATACTACATTGTTCTTGTACCAAAAAAAAAAATGCAACACTTTTCCTTAAAAGTACCAAATTGCCAACGCTTTATGTGTGCCACTCTTTTACTTTAAAAATCAATATCCGTTGAAATTTAAAATATTTTTCTAACAAAAAATTAATGCCTTTGAAAAAATATTTGCATTTTTCACATGACGTGAAGGAATTCCTATTAGAATTGTGGACATGTTTGCTTCTGCTTTGAGTTAGAAATGTGTATGTATACGTAAACAAATATCAGCTGATTGGCCTTATATAATTTTTATACTAGTCTATACAGCTAGGATTTAAAAATTCCATCGATTTAGAAGATATGGACTAAACGCCCCTTTAGGCAACTATTTTGTGTATTAACATATTTTGAAGCGTTGGAATTTTTGTTCTTTGTAGGAAAAGTGATATTTTTTTGTTATAAAAACAGTGTTGTATTCGAAATTATCTCAATTTAGCATAGGGTTTCGAGAACATCTTAAAAATTTTATGAATTATAAAACTATTTTATAACCACACATCTTTATATGCATATTTTATCTGATGCGAAGGAATTCCTATTAGAATTGTGAAAATAGTGGCCAGTTAGGTGTAGAATTGGAAATGTGTATGTATACGTAAACAAATATCAGCTGTTTGATTTTATATCATTTTAATACGACTCTAAACTGCTATGATTTACAACACGCTTTAGAAATTGAGTTCGTCTTAGAAGGTATAATCTGAACGCGCCTTTAGTCGACTATTTTGAACCGTAAAGTGTTGCCATGTTGGTAATTTTAGAAGAAGTGAAATAGGGTTGTATTTGAAATTATATCGATTTAGCATAGGATTTCTAGCAAATCGAAATATTGAGTTGATTAATTTGTGTATGGTAAATCGAGAAAACTTCAACTCGATTTAGAAATTCATATCTTGATTTAATCCACGTTGTCACGATAAAAAGCTATAGTCTAAACGCGCCATAAGGTTATTACTTAATACAGCAAATGTAAGGCGAATACACACTCTCAGTTTGAGCTTTCAGCTGATTTTTTATCGATTACTGACTTCCCAAAAAACCATGAATATTTTCGTGAATGCCTGACGGACATAAACAGGTATACAATTAAACAAATGTAAATTTGGTCCAAACTGTCAATTCAAAAGTTATAGTGTGTATGTCGTTTCATGAGTTTATGAGATAATTTCCGATAAATTGCATTGCCTGTGTTGAAATCATGGCCTATATAAAATTTCGAATAGGAGCATCATGCTGTAGGGTTGTACAATCTGCGTTACAGCTTTTTCGGTTCGTTCGACAAAAAAACTAGGTAATTCATTTAGTTGAAGTCAGTGAATTACTACAAGTCAGTAAGTTCGGTCATGAGAACAGGAAGAAATAACTAAATAACCGATTAGATCAAAAGAAAGTGAACAAGGAAAAATTGAACCTAGTACCGATCGTTCCTTTTGCAGAATAGTTGTTTTGAACTCTACCATGCTATCTATTCGTCTGTTCCCGTACCTCAAGAATTTTTACAATGACAACAAATTTTCCTTTATGATATCGAAAAAATATTTAAAATTAGTAGATTTCAGTACGGACACAGACCACAATATATTCTCTTTGGAATTAACCGTATGGAAAGGCACAAAGTGTTTCCCTTAGTGTAAGGCCTATTAATAAAATCATCCAGGTAGATCAGCTGATTCTCAAGTTTTCTGTCAAAATATATTATTAAGAATTATGTTCACATTGTGATATGGTAAATAACTTCCAATCATATGACATTAAACTTCAGAAAATCAGCTGTTTTCTGGGCAATCTTATTAATAAATCTTAAATTAGTGTCTGATTGTCCGGTTAAACGGGTTTTAGTGGACACTTTTGGAAGTCAAGGACTACTCACTATTATTAATATATAATTTTTTTATATTTATTGGAATTTATCGAAATAAGATTTAAACTAATTTTCTAAAAATTTGAAAAAAAAATTCTACAGTGGGTCTGTTCACGTACTACAAAAATCTACTCGATTTTATTATTTTCTCGATATCATAAAGGAAAATTCGTTATCGTAGTAAAATGTAGTAGATTCTTGCAGTACGGGAACGGACCAAGTATCATGTACGATTTAACGATATTTCGATAAATATCGATAATTTCAATATTCAGGAAAACAGTGTATATTTTTTCTTGAAATTTAACATAAAATGGGCAGTCATCCATATGGTAAAGAATGTCTTAGTTAATTCAAATATTTACTATTTTGCAATTTATCGAAAATTATCGACCACATCCGTTTTTATTTTGGGAAAAGTAAAATGAAAATGTCGATTACCTAGACATTTTTAGATAATTATTGAAAAAAAAAAACGATTTGTTATACATATTTATCGATACATTTAGATGTTACATTTACGTATACTGCGCTACATACATTTTTTGTTTTTATTTTTAGTTCTAGAGTTTGGGGAGAGAATTTTAATAAGGTTGATGATTATTACGATGATGATGATATTATTTAATATGATTTTTTTTTCGAAAAAAACTGGCATTACATAAATGTTAAAAAATGTAAAGAAGTGATTTTGATAAGTTTCGATAAAAAATATCATTTTCAGAATATGAGAAAAATTCGATTATTTTTACACGCAATTAACTATTTTCACGACATTATGACAATAAAATTCTATTAAATTGTCTCCGAAATCGCATAACGTTGTATTATGCCTTCCGATAACTTTCGATAAATTTATTATAATTAATAATGGACAAGGATTTACTTAAAATTTTTACAGTAATTATGAAGACACAAATTTCAATATTCAAAAAATCGTTTGAAATTGTTTAAACACTATTTCTCAATAGTAGCTTCATAGAAATTTATCGATTAAAATAAGACTAAACATATATTTATCGATTTGTGTTTTTTTGTAACAATTACAAAATAAAATATGTAGCTCTGAGAGAAAAAACAAATCATATAAATAGATTTGTTTTAAATATTTTCTCAGGATCTCGTTTGCTTACACTTAAGAAAAGACGATAACTTTCGATAAGTCTCATAATTTTATATTGTTCATGTGTTATTCATCATTCTTTGTTACAATTATTAAGAATGTCACGTGTAACTTTATCTCAATAGTTAAGAATTCTAAACCATAGCCACTTATCGAAAATTATCGAAATTAAAAAAAAATATGGTATTTATGGTAATTTATATTATGTTACTAATATTGCTACGAGCACACTTTTTATGCTAATTTTAATTTAGATATAAATGTGTATAATCGGAACTGAAATAATTCGTAGTTTTCTATGTTTTCATGTTTATCGAAAGTTATCGAAATTAAAAATACGTTACTTTGAATGTTTGAAGACGATTTATGATTGAAAAAATTCTTGATACCAAAAAAATGTGTTGAGATATCAAAAATTTATCACAAATAATATTTTTTATTTCGATAACAATCGATATCGAAAGTTATCGAAATCAAAAATACGTCAATGTGAATCTTTGAAGAAGATTAACAATTGTAAATTTTCTTGATACCAAAAATGTGTTGATATTTGAAAAAAATATCTCAAATAATATATTTTTATTTCGATAACAATCGATAAAAAATAAATTTTGTGAAAAAATCTAAATATTTTACCACGTTTTTTAACACATGTTGAGATAATCAAAAAAGTATCACAAATAATATTTTTTATTTCGATAACAATCGATACCGAAAGTTATCGAAATCAAAAATACGTCAATGTGAATCTTTGAAGAAGATTAACAATTGTAAATTTTCTTGATACCAAAAATGTGTTGATATTAGAAAAAAATATCTCAAATAATATATTTTTATTTCGATAACAATCGATAAAAATTAAATTTTGTGAAAAAATCTAAATATTTTACCACGTTTTTTAACACATAAGAAAACATTAAATAAATATTGCTAGTTAAGTTAATTTTTAAAACCTGAACAGATTTTGTAATATTTTTCATAATTTTTGATTTATCGAAGTTTATCGAATAGGAATATATGTAATTTTGCTCTGTTTTGAAGAGATATATCAAAGGTAATTAGTAGAAACACAACTCAGCAACTATTTGATTTATAATAAAGTCGAAAATTATTCCTAGTTCTTCATAATTTCCTTGTTATCGAAATTTATCGAAAACTATTTGGAGCATTTTTTAACATTTATGAAACGGCAAAAGGTTCGAATGTGTGTGTATATTTTCTCTATATAATGATGATGTGTATTTGGAATTATTTTTTTTGGCAATAATTTATACTCCGATTATCGATAGCTAGTTGAAAGATATGATATAAGAGGAATGGTATAATTGTTTTTGTTTTTTATTATTTAATTTTATTAAATTAATATGTATATCGATTTGTATAATTTGATTTTTGGTTTTTTGATTATTTTTGTTTTGTTTTAATTTAAGGACTTGCTACTACAATAAGGTTAAATACATACAAAAAAAAATAAGATATTTATATATATCTAATAATAGTTATAATAATAAAAACATTAAAAAGAAAAACATATATTTTTTGTTGTTGTTTGTTTTTTGTTGTAGATAAAAAGTTATGACATTGACATTTTGGGATGTTTTTTTATAAGTTTATTTCGTTTCAGTTGTTGTTTTTTTTATTAATTTTGGGGGGAATAAAAATTCTTGGGGGCCGGGCAGGAAGGAATAGTTTCATTGCAGGGTGGTGGGGTAGTTCTTCATGTCTTTTCTTTCATTATTTCGGCTGTTGATCTGGCTGTTATTTCAACGAACTTAAATCCGTTCGGTAACATAGACTTTGGCAGTGGCTGGAGCATTTGAACGTCTAACGGCAACCGATACAATAATGCCTATCGCCACCAAGACAATACCCAATGAGTTCATAATATAATGTTCGATTTCGGAACTGCGGGTGCTGAAAGAGAAATGAGAAAAGAAATGGAAATTAATAAAACATACAACAAAATAGGGCTATTATAAAAATTATAAAAATTAAAATATTCATTGCATTATAATTATAGTATTTATCGAAAATTATCCATAATTAATATATATATATATATATGTATATATATAATTTATGTATGTTATTTGTCCAAAAAATACTCAATATATTTGAAAATAGGGCATTTATCGAAAATTATCGATAAGTGAAAATTTGTTTTTTGTTTTCTAATCGAAATATAATTGTTCATTCTAATAATAAAATTATTGGAAAATATCATAAGAATAAATAATATTTTTATTTCGATAAATTCCGATTAGTAAAATTTCGTGTTTTTAATAAAACCCAAAAAGTAATCAATCACTTCTATATGGAAATATCGAAAATTATCGACATGTGAAATTTCGATTTGTTGGCAAGTCAAAGAATAAAAAATCTCTCCGATTTTCTACAGTAAAAAATATTTCGATAAATTCCGATAATAGCCCTTGCATGTCATTTATCGAAAAGTATCGATAAGTTAAATTATGTTTTTGCTAATCATGGAATAATTAACCCTTCTGATGTGGGAATGATTCGTCTAAAATATTTATTTCGATAAATTAGTTATTCCAATGGGTTGACATTTATCGAATATTATCGATATGTGAAATTTTGTATTTTCTGGCAAGTCAAAAGATAAATAATCCCACCGATTTTTTTTTAGTTTTTAAAGTTAAAAATATTTCGATAATTTCCGATAACAGCTTTCAGATGACATTTATCGAAAAGTATCGATAAGATAAATTATGTTTTTCCTAATCATGGAATAATTAACCTTTCTGATATGGAAAGGATTCGTCTAAAATATTTATTTCGATAAATTATTTTTTCTATCGGTTGACATTTATCGAATATTATCGATATGTGAAATTTCGTATTTTCTGGCAAGTCAAAAGTTAAATGATCCCACCGATTTTTTTTTTAATTTTTAAAGTTAAAAAATATTTCGATAAATTTCGATAACAGCTTTCAGATAACATTTATCGAAAATTATCGATATGAAAATTGTTGTTTTTTGGCAAATCAATTAGAATATCTTTCAGATATGAAACAATTTTTTATTTTATTTCGATAAATTCCGATAAACGCTTATAGAAACGATGTTGCGGTTATATAAAGATTTGAAAAGGATTTGTTTATGTATACAAATCCTTATAGGCTCTAAGGTAACTTACCTTAATGCTGTTTCACCATTCTCGGCGCCAATCATTTGACGTTCCTTCTCTACGAGACCGGTGACACATGTCGCAATGGCCATCATAAAATTGGCCAAACCGAAACTGGCATGGATTGGCACCATGGTGGCACGGCAATTGTAAGTGCGGTTCTCACAGCATAATAATATCAAAAAGCTGTAATCGGCAACAACAACATGAAAAAAGAAAAACAAGATTAAATATGAAATCCGCCACGGCTAATTTATTTGAAATCGAAATGATGACAATGTCGATCATCATTATTACCTGAAGAAACCAACAACAAATTGCATGGCGAACATGCCCATTGTCACGAAACCCAACCATGTGTGCAGGCTATAGAAGTTCGGTTTCGGCGGCTCGGATAGATTGTGCGAATCGAATACGGACAAGAATCCCAAAGCGATACATGGAATGGCACAGGCATGAAAGAGCATGTGAACCAGTTTCACGTAGATGTGTTTCAGGCAGCGGCACAGGCGATACAAAAGAATTGCTGCAAGAAGCAAAAGAAGACAAAGACGAAGAAGCAGCAAAAAGAATTGCAATACAGATTTTATTACAAAAAAATAAAATTATCCAAATTTGACTTACAAAATCCAGAGAATGTTATGAAACCGGCCACCATCAATACGGGATGTAAATTAAATTGCAATTCAGGATTTTCCGACCAGGCAAAACCACCACGATAGAATATAACCCAGAAGAGTGTGAGCACCAAAACGCCCACCAGCAAAATGGTGGACAGAATCACAATGAGGAGATATTCAAACCATGAACCGCAATTCCAGGCATTTTCCGGATCTTCTTCATAGCGTCTGAAAGGGGGAGAAAAAGAAGAAAGGAATTTTATTAGTATTAATGTTCCGATTAAGAGAGAAGCTATTGAGGTTATGTGATATGGATTTTACATATGCCCTGGAGACCTTGGATGACCTCCATTTCCAATAACATCATTGAGTTCCTTAACAAAATCGCTGTTTATTTGCATTCGTTTTTGATAGCGTCGTATTTTCTGCCAACAGGCGAATCTTTTCAGGAAGCACATGCCAGTTTTGAAAAAAATGTATATTTCAATATTTTTTTTTTACATTTGACAATGACACAATAATGTTTAGAAATTAACACAGCATGCCAGGATCTGCACACATGTATTGTGAATCAAGGTGATTGATACATAAAAGTCTGTCCGCTATGGAAAATTACTTATATGGGACTTCGTATGGATGTCACCACCATATTACGGAACCGGAGTATTTTTTTATAGAAAACAGAGGAATTTTTTCTATAGAAAATTTTTTTTCTGTTGAAAAAAAAGTATCCTATAGGTACTAAGGAAGTGTTTTCTAAAAAAATTGTGCGAAAAAAACTGAGGAATTTTTTTTAAGAAAAATATTTTTCTATTGAAAAAGAGTATCCTTATGGTCCTGGGAAAATTTTTTATAGATATAGTTATTCTCAGAGTACAGATTATTTTTTTCTACAGAAAAAATCGTACTGAAAACAAATAGACATTTCTCACAAGCCGGAGGATTTTCTTAAAAAGAGAACCGTGATTTTGCCCACCGAAGAAGTTGCAATTATGTTTTCCGTATTCTTGAATGTTGATAGAAATCTATAGTGAACATTTTCAACAAAGGACATTGACCTATGTTGAAAATGTTTTCGGGTCATTCCCAACCGAATTTTCCAACATGCATGTACTTTATTATCTCAGAGGATAACAACTTTTCTGGATCCAGGTCGCAGTAATGCCATGCGGGGGAATTTAAAACCTTGCATCCGCACACAAATTGAAGTCCCAGTTTCATGGTCCATTTGCTGCATTTATAATCTAGCAGTATCCGCCAGAATTCAGTACAGCCTTTGGCGCAGTACTACGATTACCATTTTGTCTAGTTATGCATCCAGCATTACTGCTACTACTAGTGTCCATGTCTTCCTCCAGATGTACAGTTAGCACACCTTCCTGCCGTGTCCATCTATCCAATCGTATGTCGGTTGAAATTAAGATAAAATTTTTTTAGATAGAACCCGCCTAAAACTCCTTGAAGTATGAAAACCATTGTAGTGTCGAAAAATCTTGGATCCGTCCGATCTAACCCGCTTAGAACCCATTGAAATTCTAAGCTTTGGTATTAACCCTTTTGGAAGCCTTGTAGTGTCCCGAACTATTGGGCCCGCTATATTTAACCAGCTTAGTACCACTTTAAGTTTCCGTAACTTCTGGATCCATCGGTATTAAGTCGTTCGGAAGTCTTTGTAGTACCCCAAACTGGTAGGCCTTTTCAATCCGCTTAGAACACCTTGAAGTGTCGGTAACTCGTGGGTTCATGGAGTATTTTATCCGCTTAGAACTCCTTGATGTATCGGTAAATCTTTGAATCGTCGGATTGGAAGCATCGTAATGTCTGAAAGTCTTGTGCTCTTTGGATATAACCCACTTAGAATACCTTATTCGTGTTTGTAATTCGTAGGTCCGTCGGAATTAACCCATTTGGAAGACTTATATTATCCGCTTGAACCGTCTGTAACTCCTGGGTCCATGGGATCGAACCTGTTAAGAGGTCTTTTAGTTTCCATCAGAAATTACCCATTATGAACCTGTATAGCATACGTAAATCTCGTGGTACCATTTGTGATTTTCGGAACCAAAAAAAGAAACACGTTAGGAACACTCAACCTTTGGGATAACTTTCATTAGGGTTTATTTTAAAACAATTAATTAGACAAGATACAAAAATAGGAATACGGTGGACCTAGGAAGGTGTCATACGAAGTATTAATCCCGACCAGAGACGTACGCAGAAATGAAATTTTTTTCACAGTAAATTTTATTTATTTTTCCAACAGCGAATTTTTCACGGAATTGGTTGTAATTTAATATTTTGGGCTCTAAGTGGGTGTCAAATCTCCATACCAAAAATATAAATATCGGGAGATCTTTGGGTATATTTTCGCCACCCAATATAATGGTTCAGCCATTATGGTCAATGGTGCAATTTTCAAATCATGTGACCATTTCGAATCGGTTGTATTTGTGAATTTGCGGAATCTTTGCGGATAAACAACTTCTTCACAGCATATTTTCAATATAAGCCTTCATACAAAAGGTCATGGGTTATTTTCGGTATGTTCCAGATCCTAGTCTCATTTTTTCAACCTGAGTGTTTGTATTTTTGGATTTCGTTTTATTCTCGTTGCAATATACTATGGAATCGTGGATATTAATGTTCCGAGTTTATAATTCATAGAAGATACATGTATTGATAAGTATTCCTGGACCTCCAAACCCCTATTAAGTAGGTAAAATTCAAGGGTCCAACGAAAACTCAAAGAAAACCCCATACTGCTAACTGTCATTTTATGCCATGAAACCACTAAATCAATCACTTATGTGCCCTCAACTGACCTAGGTTTTTGTTTCAAATATGTTCCCCTCGCGCTCTCTCTCTCTCCTCCACACATCAACGTCATCACCAATCCCCCTTTCAATTTACAATTGTGAACTGAAAAATTCAAATGATCCGCAGAGTTCAAAGTTATTAATTCAATTACCAACCAACCAACCAACCAACTACTGTTTGACTGATGACTGGCTTGTCCCCAACAACAACAACAACTAAATATACGTACATACTATATGATCGGAATGTTGTTGCTGCAATTTTTTTCCTTTGTTATCTCGCAAAAGCAACAAAACAAAATCAGTTGCAGTAATGAAGTAATTACCATTTTGCCAAAGTAAATTAAAGATTTCTTCAGATAAATTTATGCAGAAACTTTGTTTTTTTCTTTTTCAAATTTAAATCCAACTGAAATTGAAAGTGAAATCAGCTCGGGGTTTGTGATAAAAGAAGAAAAAAATTAAATAAATTGTGATTATGCGCTTAATTGTTGGTTGTTGTAATTGTATTATTGTATGTTGTGATAATTGTTATAAATTTAAAGCGAATTATTGGCTAGTTTTTTTCTGCGTTCACTGTTCATTAGCATGGGTTGGGCTAGGTCGTTGCGATATAACATTTATGTACATAGGTATTTAACACTATTTTTTTTGAAATTTGATACAATTTTTTTTGGATTTTGTTCAAATAGTGTTATGAAAAAAATGTTCTTGATTATTGGATAATAATTATAAAAAATAGGAAGTTGGGTTTTACAATTATCAACTGTTTTGAAAAAATGCCCTTTAAATGAAAAAATGCCCATGATCCATCAGTTTATCCGGAGTTTATGCCTTAGCTTATCCATTGAACTTCAACTTAAATTTCCATTAGAATGGATTTCAGTTCCATGGAGTCTATTACTTTTGCCTCTAAATGCCTCCCTTATGGTTCGCCCACAAAGTCTTCCAGACCTTCAGCTTATTATGAGAAATCCCTGTTTTTAATTAATCAAGAAAGAGGTTTATAGTGACTTCTTGAACCTCAAAATATCTATAATCCCTGACCTTCAGTTTGTATATAAAAGCTACCTGACTACATTTATAAAGACTCCATGTACACCCTGAGATGCAGGTCTTCTATAAACACCATAATGGCTTTAGTTCGGCTATAAAGACTGCCTGAATTTCAGTTCTCTAAAACCTTACCAATCTTCCGCTCGACTATAAAGAACCCACGAACTTCAGCTCTTCTATAAAATTACTATTAGCTTCAAGTTGTCCATAATGACTCCCTACACTTCAGCTTGTCTATATGAACACCCTGAATTTCAGGTCGTCTATATAGACTTCCCGAATCCCTGTTCCTATGTAAAACTAGCGGCCTTGGTTTTCAGCTCGTCTAGAAAATACCATTCTTCAAGTCCTCCGGGTCGGGTTTCATCCAACTCGTCTTTAAAGACTTCCTCCAGGTCGTTTTTACAAACTCCCTCCACGACGTGTAAAGACTCCCTTCCGCTCGTCTATAAAGTCTCCCTTCAGGACTTCCAAACAGACTCCTTAAGCTCTTTAAATACTCCCTGCCTTCATCTCGTCTGTAAATATTCCTTCAGCTCGTTTATAAAGAACTCCTTCTGCTCGTCTACAAAGACTCCCTCCAGTACGTCTATAATGACTTCCTCCAGCTCGTCTAAACAAACTTCTTCATCTCGTCTACAAAGAGTCCCTTCATCTCGTCCATGAAATCTCAATTTAGGATGTCTAAACAGACGTCTACAAAGAGTCCCTTCATATCGTCCATGAAATCTCAATTTAGGATGTCTAAACAGACTCTTTCAGATCTTCTATAAATACTCCCTGCCTTCATCTCGTCTGTAAAGTGTGCATTCAGCTCGTCTATAAATTACCCCTTCAATAAAGAGGGCACTAGTTTGCTGCCCATCAGCTCGTCTACAAAGACACCCTCCAGCATGTTTACAAATACTTCATCCAGCATGTAAAGGTCCACTTCGGGACGTCTAAACAGACGTCTTAATCTCGTCTATAATGTCTTCCTTTAGCTCTTCTATAAAGATTCCTTCCAGATCGTCCCTTCAGCTCGACTGTAAAGACTGTATTCAGGTCGTCTATAAAGACTCAGTTCATGTGTAGATAACTCCTTCATTTCCTCTATTAAGACATTCTACCTTAATATCGTCTGTAAAGACACACCTTCAGCTCCTTCATAAAGTCTCCCCCTTTCAACTCGTATATAAAGGGGAATTATGTTGTCTATAAAGTCTCCATCCAGCTCGTCTACAAAAAACTTGCTTTAGCTCGTCTATATATACTACCTTCAGCTCTTCTGTAAATATTTCCCTCAGTTCGTCCATAAATACTCTATCCAACTCCCTTCCGCTCGTCTTTTTTCAACTCATCTTTAAATAACCCATC